AAAATTGCCATTAACTTCTGCTGCCCCCTTTTCTGTTAGTTTTCCCATAGGTATCAGATGGGAATCCATTCCTTAGTTTTATTCCCTAGCTCTGCTCCCTGCACTGTTCTGCAGAGCTATACGTGCTTGGTGCCATTTCACAGCCTCCAAGGAAAAGTGAACATTTGCTGTGTAAATTCTGTCATCTCTTTTTATCGGGCTGGAAGGCCTTTCAGGTCTGTTTTCTCTCCTTTTGTTTTCCCTCAGTGCTAGGGAAGCATTTGGCTCTTAGTACTGGCTACAATTAGCAGTGTGATTTTTCTAAGGGGGAATCATCTTTAACTGAAGTCTCTTCTATGGCTCATGTATTTTGTGCGATTCTGAAGTACTTTTGCAACACTTTCCACTCTCAACTTTAATGAGCACATCATTACAGTTTTTTTTAAACTGCTATGCACTGAGATATTACTGTAATTTCTGTTAATCACAAGCTAAAACTGAATTTTCATTAAGGTACTTGATTTACATTTCATATGGGTAACCGGTAATCTGTGAAATAGCAGGTTGCCTTCATGAGGGCCTCCAGCTATAGCGTAGTTGCAGTATGGCTGCAGCATTCTTGGGGCGTCTCCTTACTAAGAATATGGCCATTGTCTTAGGAAGCTCTGCTGCCACTGTGGCTGCAGTAGAAACTGCTGAATTCAGTATTAATCAAACCGTAGAAGAACCTATTTATATATTAGCTGTCCCGTTACTGTGCAAGAACAACATTTCTGAATGGAGGAGTTCATCTGCCTTGTAGCTATAACAGGCAGAAGAGAGAAATATGATGAACAGGGTGGCAAAGCAGACTCTAGGGCAGGGTTGCACCCTGGGGACTGTTTCAGAGAGGTGTACCAAACCCCAGAACCCTAGAAACTGGCACAGGGAGTTGGCAAGGGAAGTTCCCACTTTTATATAGGGGATGCTGGGGATTAGGGCCACAAGCCCACAGGCTAAGGGATAGACACTGGTAAATGCACATTAATATTAAGGTATATACACTTAGGATCTGGGTAACAGGAAGCAAACCATGACACTTCAATGTGATGTTCTTGGGCAATTTCATCACACTAGCAATGTGGTGACACTGCCCAAGAACAGGTAAGTGGTAGAAAATGCTGACCTTGCGATATATATACACTTAAGAACGTTAAATCCTCCCCCAACTTTGGAGGGCTCCAAACCAGTCTCTGGTCCCATGAAATGCTTAACTACCCTTGCTCCATGTCTGAGCCCCACTGCTACAGCTCCCAGTCCTAGCTCCACCACTCCTTCCAACTCTCTGGCCACACATCTCCCTTTTGAGGCGACCCATGCTCCAACTCTGCTCCTTCTGCTTCCACCTGCCCCCCGCTGTCTTCTGGGAGTTATAGTTCATATTGCAGTTCATTCCTCTAGTCCCCTGGAAGCTTCTGGTTCGTGTTACAACATTACAGTACATGACACCATCACAGTACATTACAGAGGGATAAGCTTTTGTAGGTAACAGGTGAATCCCTAGCATCCAATGAAGTAGGCTATTATCTAAAAAGGTGTATACCTCTCTGAACCAATTAGTTTCTACCCTGCCCTGTCTTCTGCCTGACCTGAGACTAACAAAGCTGACTGTCTCTCAAAACAGGGTATGTTAATATGGAAAAAACAATATTTTTTATCTATTGATTAACTTTCGGGAGATGAGCAGCCATAGCAGGTATCTCATACTTGGAATTGTAGCTTATAGACCTAGTGAGTCACCTAATGGCTTCCTTGACTAAACATTTTTTTCTTTCATGTCAGTGCAAACAGAAACTGAGGCTCCCTGTGCCTTACTTTGTGCATGTCTATGTCACTAATTTACCATGCAAGGCAGGGCTGATTTGCTCAGGTACAGCACTATGGATGTTAGAGGTCATGTGTGCTGAGCATCTGAGTGTGTTTCAGGATGATGCTGCCTGGCATGGTAAGTGGGAAGCAGAGACATGCCTTTCTCATCTTTCTGCACATAGCAAGTTGTGAAAGCCTAATCTGTTTTGCAGCACATGACCCTTCTCTCTCTCTCTCTCTCTCTCTCT